AATATTAAATTTGAATTTTATAAATAAAAACATAAGTATTGAAAGAATTTATCTTCTATTAGATTTAATGCGATTTGATTCTAAATTAATATGAATTTAATATAACTTTTATATATATAAGGGCTATATTGCACCTTCTGCCTTTTAATGTAATTTTGACAAGGAAAGAAAGACATTGACAAAAGGCACCGCCCAGGTGGTGTCATTTATGTTCAATCCCTCCAAAACGTCTTGGTTTCCAAGTGTCGCTCTCAACCCTCAAACTTCAATCCTCTCCTTTCTTCTGAAGTATTCACCTTTCTTCTGAAGTCTTCACCCCCAAACAGGTTTTCCTTAAAAGCCAAAAGCTTTGCTACCATTTGGATCAAGTATCCCATTTTCGGGTCCGTGATAGCCTGAAGTCTTCGAGAAATGGCGGACTGGGCACCGGTGTTGATCGGGGTGGTGCTATTCGTGCTGCTGTCGCCCGGACTTCTGTTGGAGTTCCCGGGCAAAAGCCGGTACCTGGAGTTCGGTGGCATGAATACCAACGGCAAGGCCATCGCCGTTCACACACTATTTTTCTTTGTCATTTATGCTGTGTTAATCCTCGTCGCCCACATGCACATCTACACCGGCTGAGACTGTTCGAGGTCTGTGCAGTGTAAGCGATTGAGCTTCTAATAAGTTGATGTTGTATTGCTTGCTTAATTCGGATTTGAATGTTGATCTTCATTTGTGTGAATGAAATCGTTAGTTTGCTTTGATTTTCCATTTTGTTATTTAATTTTAGTTTTTTGGATTTTATCTGGGGACCAACCAGTTGACTTGACCATGGTTTAACATTCAATTGCTTTGATTTTCACATTATGTTTATGTAGTAATTTGTAGAGCAAATAAATTTTCTAAGAATTAGAAAATTTTCTGGTTAGGATCAATTAGGTTAGCAAAGGATGTACCCCAGAACTCTAGTCTGATTTGGAATTCAGGACTTTGAAGATGAATAATTCTTTTATTTTTTATGCCCCAAAACCACAGGAATTGAAACCCATTAGAAAACAACTGAAGTTGTTCTCCACATAATAAATGCAAAAAAGGAAAACGAATTAAGCCAAGATCTTAGGAAAGACCCTTACAACAGCAGAAAAAAATTGGATTAGGGATCAGAAATAAAACAGAACATTAGCTTTTCATTTCCAGGAAAACAAATTGAAAGGAAGTTGTGGTTTACATGTGTATGTGAACCCCTATAGCAATGATCAAGAGAGTGATTATGCAGAAATATATGATAGCATGAACCAGGATGGATATCCCACTAGTACACATGTTACCAAACTCCACAAACCGGGCTCTTGCTGGCACCTGGAACAGCAAACCTGGTGATAGGAGGATGAACAGACCCACCGCCACCACCACAGGTCCCCAGTCAGCACCCATGTATGTCTTTTTTCTTTCTTGCTCTCTTGCTCTTGCAAAATGAAGATAGGAAATTTCTTTGTGGTGTACACAATTGGATGAGAAGTTGTGAACGTTCCTCTTATGTAGAGGGCGAATGGGAATGATTTTGCTTGGTGGTTAAGGAGGAAATGGATGCTAAACTTAGGCTGAAAGAAGAGAGTGGGGTTTAAAGAGGAGGCAAGGTATAGAAATTGTGGTGGGTTTCCTTTATGAGATGGGGAAAACACAAACACCTTTACTTTCATTTAGCTTCACATAATTGTTCTATTCAATATTTCTTTTTACTTGCTTTAGAGCTTTTATTAAAGATGTATATTTAAAAGAAGTGTTTCTGTAAAGTTGAATTCATCTAGCATTTTCTTTAGAAGTAGCCAAAGGCGTGTTTGGTTTGCTAGGTAAATTTGTGTTAAGAAACCTTGATAAAGGCAAAAGAGATAAAAGTAGTGCTTCTATTTCTGTAGCTGAAACTTCTCTCAGCCACTAGTACCACGCTTAATTTGAAAACTTTTGAAGCCTCCAAGGAGCGCCTGGGATTTAATTCTTTTGACATTTTCTTCTTGGGGATCTTTTTGAGGATTGAAAATGAAACAGCCGCCCAGAGAAAGCTGATATGCTGTCCATGGGGATGTTGTTGTCAACTTTAACGTGAAATCCAATGCCTGTTTTACTTAGTGTTCTCTATGTCCTTATTCATCTTCGTCTGCCCTTTTTATAGTGATTGCTTTAGCAGTCTCCATAGGTAGACTGCTCCATAGTCACTCTGAACTGTAGATTCATAGTTGTAAAGGCGCGAGAATGGGGAACGACCGGGTTCCAGTGGTGATAGGAGTGGTTCTGTTTGTGTTGTTAACACCAGGATTGTTGTTTCAGTTGCCTGGCAGGAAGAGAGCAGTAGAGTTTGCCAACATGCAGACAAGCGGCATCTCCATATTCATAGACACCATTCTCTTCTTTGGTTTCATTACCATCTTCCTCATTGCCATTGGAGTCCACATCACATCAGGATAGCATTATTTACAGCCATCTATCCACTATTCAGGCGTCCCTTTCCGCTTTCTGTCATCTCATGTACTATTATGATCTTTTCTTTAGATTAATAAAGCTTTTCTTTCCAATTCCTATCGATTTTGTTTTGTAGTAGTTATTATTAGTGACCCTTGTGCAAATTAATACCAATACCAAATCAAGCAATTGTAAGAAGTTAACAATACAAACAGAAAATTAAACAGGGCATTCTTCACTGCAATCAATACAATTGTATTGCATAATCAGTTTCTGGCTTTCTGCCTCAGACATGAAAGCTAATTTCAAATGACTCTTTCTCCTTTACCGTAATAAAGCTTTTCTGCTTTCCTCGGAAACTCCAAGGAGCCATTAAATTTTTGTTCTAATCATCATCATCTGTGACAGTAAGTGGGAGTTCTTAAAACAGAGAAAGGAACTCCATAATTCAGACAAATTCGAAGGGACACAGAAAATGTTGGGAGCAACAAACAAAAGTCAGCGATAACTTATTTGTCTGGGTAAAAGGAATTTGATTTTTCTAAATGAGTTTTCAAGTTTGAATTTTATGGATAAAAAAATAGATATTGATAAAGTTTTTTCATTATGGGATTAAACGCGACTTGACTCTGGATTATTCAAACTTCCGAATAGGGAGGGATAGTACAAAAAAAAAAAAAACAAACGAAAGTCAGAAAATGATTATCTAATTCCAGGGTCGAAGCCAAGACATCAAAACGAATTTCAACCAGGGAAGTAAACACAACTGATCAGCAACAGCCATCAAGAGCAGAGAGGACTCGGGTTGGTTCAAATAGTGGGTACTGGGTTGGGTTTCTGTTTGTTGATCCCCAGGCCCGAATAGGCCCAGATTCTGAGGAAGACTGGATTTTGTGTTTTATATTTTTCATAGGTCACACCAGATAAGTCCAGTCTAGCCCATATCTCCTTTAAACCCATCTCTCTCTCTCTCTCTATAAAAAAAAAAAGAAAAAAAAGAAAAAAAATGAACAAAAGAAGGAGATTCTAATTTCATGGTTTAAATTGTGTAATTTCAGCTCTAAAAGTTAGGAGGTTTGCTCAAGAGACCAATAGAGAGCTAATTCTTAAATGAATTTCTTAATTCTAGTACATATGATGTGAACTAAAAAAAAGTGAATTTTATAATGTGTACAACATACCAAAAATGTATTCTTAGAAAAAAAAATGAAAGTGATTTATCTTTGAAAGAATTTACCAGTTCTAAATAAAAGGGATATTCTATCCTCTGAAATATCCATTTGCATTAAACCTTCCAAACTGGCAAAAGAATCTTTATACATAGATGCTAATTAAAACACTTTTCCCTTTTTAAGTACAACTTTAGTTTCAGAATTTATTCAAAGAGAAGGTAGATTTTTGTCCACATCATAATCTTAAGGAAATTACCAATAATCATCCATCATTTAAAAGTAAAAAATAATTAGTATATAC